GAATCTGTCCTTGTTTTAATGATATAAAGAGTATTACAGTATGGAATCATCTGGTGTAATAGTTTTCATGTGCAACAAAAAGTAAAGATGTCCAGACTCCTGATGACATGATCTAAGATAGTGGAACTGAGCACTTTAATATCCCAGATGGGAAACTTTACATGCAGGTAAAAGACATTACACATAATGCAATACATTTAACACAACATGAACCCGTTAACAAATAATAAACATGTAGAATGAGAAGCAAACATATATATAAAAAGTCACAGCGTAGGTGGCTGTGACAGCATGCGTAGGCTGCAAAGGAACAGGTAAAGGTTTATTCCATGCTGAAAGGAAAAGAGAAGAGACAACATTTTGGCTGTGGAGCCTTCTTCAGGTGTGTCAATAGTAAAGTCAAATATACTGTCAATCGTCCAAATTGAGGAGGTTAATTGCTGTGAGAATAAAAGATGACTTTGTTCTGTTGTTCTTGAATCTAGGCGGTCTAAATCAGCACCCAGATGGAAGGGGGTCAAATTCACTGCGCAAGGGGTGATCATGACAGTCAGTGATTAGATTGACAAAGTGAAGGGGTAATATTGAATTTATAATAATAATAATAATAATAATAATAATAATAATAATTCCTTACACTTATATATCGCTTTTCTTGACACTCCACTCAAAGCGCTTTACAGGTAATGGGGAATCCCACTGCTACCACCAATGTGCAGCTCCACCTGGGTGATGTACCGGCAGTCAGACTGTTCCAGTAGGCTAATCACACATCAGCTCTCAGTGGAGAGGAGAATAGAGTTATGAAGCCAATTCATAGATGAAGATTATTAGGAGGCCATGATTAGTAAAGGCCAGGGGGAAATTAGGCCAGGACACCAGGGTTACACCCCTACTCTTTTTAATAATTACAGAGAGTCAAGACCTTGGTTTAACCTTATTTGGAGGACAGCTCCTTTTTACAGCATAGTGTCCCCGTCACTATACTGGAACTTTAGGACCCACACAGACCGCAGGGTGAGCGCCGCCTACTGGCCCCACTAACACCTCTTCCAGCAGCAGCCTCAGCTTTCCCAGGAGCCTCCCATCCAGGTACTAACCAGGCTCACAAAGAATTTTGCCGGGAAGAATCGGCAAATATACACCACATCATTGTGCAAAACATATAAATCATTCCAAAAAGATTTATAGCAGGGATTTCTGTTACAGGTGCTTTTAGCAAGTACTGAGCTAGGGGGATGAATATGCGATGAGTACATTTCAATTGGCTTCAAAGGCTTTTCTCACATTGAATCTTTTTTAGAAAGAACAGTCTTTTGATTCATGATTATAGTTTTGAATTAAAAGGTTCCTTTAAAAGATTGTGTAATTACTCAACATGTGACTCTCTTTCTACAGGGTGAATACTACCCTCAGTCCTCTATACTGAGTGTCTACTAATATATAATATTCATGTGAAGCAATCATTCATTGAAAAGGATTGCTATTGTAATCTTCTCCGAGTGGTCGAGCAGTTTAAAAGACTAGCATGGCAGATGTATTTGAATGGGAAATAGTCACGCGTGTCTTTAAAATTGCTGCAGTACTCCCAGACGCATGGCTGCTCCTAGAGTGATGTCTGAAGAGGCTGTGGTTCCTTTGCCCCACAGCTGGAATGAAATCCAGCTCATTTTGGCAAACCAGCTTGTTTACAGGACAGCTGATCCCAAGACCTTATTGTGCAGTCTTTCAGGAGCCGTAAACAAAATAATCAATTAAAACTACAGTTTTTTTTTTATTTATTCTCAAAGTACTTCTCACAATGTGAGAGAGTGATCTGGAGTTGACATTACCGGGCCATAGTTGAAGATTTTGTGGGTTTTTGGTCAGAAAAAAGCATATTAGTAGTATCCATACATGTAACTATTTGGCTTTCATTCTAAAACATTATTTAGGAGCTAGATCACAAATACCAATATCACAATTTAATGATTAAAGTATCAGGCATGATTAAATATTCACTGGGCACAGAACACTGAAAAAAAGATTCATAAACTTTTCTTTTCCTGTTTCTTTAAGCAAGTCTAAGGCATTCAGATGCAGGAGGAGTTTCAGTAAAGCTATTTTTAAATTGCTACATTGAAAATGTTTTGTCAGATACGTACCTGGGACCTTCCTTGTCTGAAGGTCAGTCATACAAAATGAATCACAAAGTCAGCTGTTATTGATTTTGATTGTGAAGGACACACTGTATTTCCTTGGTCCAGAGCCTGAAGATATGCACATTTTAGGTATTTAAATGTTGCATGCTTGCTTGCTTTCTTTCTGAGAGTTGAAGGATAGTAAAATTCTTGGTAGTTCCCGTCTAATGCATCTTTGCCAAATTTCCGCCATCTCTTGCTTCCTAACAGAAAAAATACATAAAATCTGATTTACATATCAAAGTTTTCATTCAAGTTAGAATCGGTCTTTGGGAATTTCAGTAATGCATTCCTTTCTGATCAGAGTATTGCAGACTGATTTATACTTCTGTGTCTTCTCACTGCTGAACAGATAAGTCAGGCCACAGATTTAGGCTTCTTTGGCTGAATCAGGTAATACTGTACCTCTTTGTCTAACATTAAGGAAAGTCCCCTATTTTTTTTTTTTTGCCCCATTCATAATCCTGATGACAAAAAGTAGAATTAATTAGGAAAGTACTGCATGGAAAAGAGAAAAATGATTACAAACTGACCGGCGAGAGACAAATGCTAGAAAAAAGATTTTGCACACATTTGTATTCTTTATCTGAGCATATTGCTCACTTTACTGACGGCAGCATAATATCTTCTAGCATAATCTCATTACAGCTGAGAAAGTAAGGAAGGTACCGTTGCTCACTGTTAGGATGGGAGACTTCCAGGTAAACCAGGTGGCTGACGAAAGTAATGCTGGTGCGGCATGAGGCAGTGGTCAACCCTCTGAAATATAATTCCCTAACCAGCATCACAGCATGCTAACAGGGGCAGTGTGTTTACTAATAGGTCTAAAGGTGTTAACACTGATATTAAGGGTAATTTTCTACTTTGGGCTTGCACAGTCTGGCCTGTGTAGATTAACCCCCTAATTTAATTAATTTGAATTCAAACGATCTTATTTAAATTCCTGGGCTAGTGGTTATATAGCATTGAGTGGGGAAAATACAGGCTGAGGGAACTGACACTTGTTGGTCTTGAATGGAGAAGACCCCAAAGGGCCATGATTCTTGTCTTCAGAGTCCTCGAAGGCAGTGACAAGGACAACCTAAAAACGTCAGCTTCCTGACAATCGGGGGAAATGCAAAGCAATGGACGGAAGTGAAAATTAAGAGGGTGGCACTTCTTTACTCACGGGTTTGTGTAAGTGTGGAACAATGTACTCAGCCATGATGTTGAGGTTTAAGATATTTAAGATCACTTTATTGGCCATATACAATTTCTTGCATTAGGAATTTGTCTTTTCACATACCCCAGCTTGCTCTCCATGAGACACACAGACAGGGAGAGAAGCTGGGGGTCAGAGCGCAGGGTCAGCCATTTATACAGCACCCCTGGAGCTTTGCTGGCCGCGGGATTCGAACCGGCAACCTTCCAGCCACAGACGCAGGTCCTCAACCACACAGCCACCACACCACCCATTAGTTGAAACTAACCCCCAAGAATCCTCCAAGAAATGTTAACTGAAACTCTGAAATTGTTAGCTACCAACAAGCCTAATAAACTAGGTTTGCAAATGTCTTCCCCTCATTAGTTGCAGTTAATACCAGTGGACAATTTAAATGTACTTTGAGGATAAACATCATATTATTAAACACATTCTCTAATATTCAGAAACAATATATCCAAAAGGGCTATTCATGTTTTTTGATAATTTTCCAGCATTACTGATCCAGGAAAATAAAAAGTATGCAACATTTTAAAAGTGAAAGTTTGTAAACTTGAGTATAATTAGGAATGTTCAAAATCAAAGTCATTCTTTTACATCTAGTAGAAGAATGTCTATTTTTCTTGTCCCTGTATATGTATAGTAGTGATGAAATGACATGTACAAACCAGGCTCCTAGCCAGCTAGATGACAAATGTCACAAGCATGGCCTTGTCATTCAAAAGGGAAGTTTTCAGTCTCCACAATTATTTCTCTGACTGTAAAAACTGTCATGACTGCAGAAATATCTGGAGATAGGAGACACAACAAGAGATTGTGTGGAAGATTCATAATTACGTTGTGTTGAAATGAATGCAGCCACATACATGAAATGAATAATTACTTTCAGTGTTTGAATAGTGTTAGATCAGTGTTAACTTTTAAGACACATAGGGTTTTATTTTTCGTTTAGTGTATAAAAAGATCAGCGATATTCTGTGTGTTTTTCTCATCATGGTGGCTGAACTAAAAGCACATGATAAAAGAGTAGATTTGTTTTGACTGCTTGTTGAAACAGGATTTAAAATTAGCTGCATCAGCTGGGGTTTTTAATGTGAAGATAATGGCATCGCAGCCCTTGAAAAACCCCTATGTAATCAGAAGTAAGTGTCTGTAGCCCAGCCGGCTGTATAATGGGCAGAGAGGTAGTTCAGCAGACTGTGGCAAACACAGGGTGAACAACATGGTCAGACAATAGATGATTCACACGGTCGTTTGTACTCGAGTTGTAAAGTGGAATAACTGCCAGCTTGCACAGTTTCATTTCGCCCTACAGATTCGGCCTTTTTGAGTGGGCTGAGAGTGTATACACTAAAACATAACTTATGAGTGCAGATACCTGTGGGTTACCAGTGATATGCTATTGAATGTGCTCGGCTCAAGATCCGCAGTGCAAACACCTCCCTTGATATAATTTGTAGCAAACTATATCAGCCACAATGTGAAATAAAACAGGTGAATGCATATTATATCGAGGTTTTGTATAGGCATTTCCTATGCCCTATAAACTGAAAAAACCCATTTTGGTGACCTGCTAGACTGAATGATTCACAACGTTGGTTCTGTGTTTTTTTTTTAAGGTCTTCCAAGTGGCCTATATCATCATCAAGGCAGCCAACTCCCCGCGCCCTGGGAACTGGATCCTGGAGCGCTCTCTGGACGGGGTGGAGTTCCAGCCCTGGCAGTACTACGCCATCAGCGACACGGAGTGCCTGACGCGGTACAACGTCACTCCTCGGATTGGGCCCCCGACGTACAAAAGAGACGACGAAGTCATCTGCACCTCGTACTACTCCCGACTGGTCCCTCTGGAGCACGGAGAGGTACGGGACGGCGCCAGCAGTCTGTTTCTAAGGATATAAGTCACACGGCATGCAGTTATTCATGCTGCAGAGACTGAGGACGCTGAAGGCCGCAGATCATGAGCGGGTCGCGTAAATAAATGCAGCCACGTTCGGTTTGGTCTGCAGGTAGTTCCACACAGTGTATGTCTGTTTGCAGTCCCATGTGGCTTATGACACTTCTGTGCCCCTTTTCTTGCTCTGCTAGGTCATCACCTCATGTCTAGTTCATGCTGTTACTTCCTGATACTATCTGCTTTTCATATTCCACATTTGTATAACACCCATGGATGTGAAACATGGAACATGGATAAACTCCAGTAGCACCACTTAGTGAATATTATTTGCCTGTTAAGCTCCCTCTTAGTGGCACTGTATGTACTTGTGTTCCCATTATTCATCATATTTATTGTAGAGATTCAGGGAGTCACAGCGCAGTTCAGTGAAGGTCTGGGATGAGTTTTAATTTGTGGTGAAAAAGCACATTTCCAGAGGACCCTGAAGAAGACACAAGGTGTATCCAACACAGTGCCTTAAAGTCTGAGCACAGCTATGGTCATGCTACGTTATTACTATAGATTTTTGTTTCTGAGTGACCACTACCTACATATTGGAACAGTAGAAAATACTTCCACACATGGCACAGTAGCTATTTCTGATAACGTTATTTATCTCCATCTTTTAAGTTATTTCTGACATGTCACGTACAACAGGTTTCTTTTTAAAATGCAGTCAAGCCAGGCCTGAGGAATGACCTCAAGCCAGGGTCTGATTTACAATGTTATTCCAACATGGAAGTTTATTGCACACTGTATGACTTGTCCTCTGTTCCATATTCCATTGTAACACTTGCAGTGTGTTCAGAAAAAAAGTATTGATATGTCGGTTTCCAATGTTATTGGCAAGTGAAGCTGCTACAGTAAGTCTGACTTAAAAAACTGAACACCAAATCCATTACCTGAAAAAAATCATTTGCTTTCTATAAACCCAATGTAAAACTGTCTTCACTTACTGCAATTGTTCTTACTTATATTTCCTCTAGAGAAAACTCTTGATGTGGTCCTGTTTCACACAGCTAGAGTCATAAACCCTGGCATTCTTATATTTAAGCAAGATAGGCTTTTTGTAAAAGATGTGTCCTAACAGATGAGATTGCAAGAACTCTGTAGCTGAAGTGATGTTCCATATAAATATGATGTTATTAAAGAGATGCTGTTAGGGATTCAAAAAAAACAATGAACATTTAAGGTAACCAAGAAAATTTTACAGATTTTCTGGCATCTCAAAAAGAGAACAATTCTGTTAGAACCTGGACATGTGGCAACCCAGTAACCAAGATACTGTTCAATAGCGTCAGTTGTTCACAATGTTTGAGAAGTTTTGCTTCGTAGATTTGTAAAGCAATAAGGAGTTACAGTGCAATGTTTACACGTCACTGGCTTCCACTAAACAGGTGATTATCTGTTTTTAATTTTTTAGTCTTAAGCGCTTGCCATTTTTAAAGACCAGTCAGTGAAATGTAAGATTTATGGAGAAACCTTTGTTGAATATCATTACATTTTACTCACAGTATTGCTATTAATTCGGCACATATCTCCTGCTGATGGGAGGAAGGCTAATAAAAGGCTTGACCTCCTTTTTAATGTAAGACCTTCATATTGTAGAGACCTTAATACCTCTATAAAGCGCAAAGCCCTTCTAGAAACTCTCGATGTGATCCTGTTTCACACAGCTCGAGTCATAAACCCTGGCATTCGTTCAAGGCTGAAGTAGTCACCTGAGAGTCAGACAATGTACAATTCTTCAAATGCATGCTTCCTGACCATTCACAGTACCAACTGGATTTTAGAGAGGCTGAAACATATGTGATAAAAGCAGCGGTTTGTCAATTACAGAGAAAAAAAACACTCCCAGTAATGAGCGACTACAGACAAGCCTCTTATGGAGAGCCCATGGTAGAAGGAATAAAATGTGTAACTGCTGAAAAGTATGAAATATTTTAAGAGCCTGAAATTACTGCTATTTTCCTTTACATTTGTCATTTAGTGATTTAGAGTCTTAGCATGTGTAATTTCAATTTCAATTTCAAACATGCTTTGAATTATTCTTCCTTTTTACTGTTCCTTTTTCTCTTCTCCTTGAGCTGCTGCGTATCTTTAAACTCAGATTTGGGGAAATCGGATTTTCCGAATAAAACATTTGCTAAGCTGCCCGAAAACAGCCATGTGGCCTTTTTATGTTTTTGCTGTGGAAATGGGTTTGTCTCAAGCTTTTGCCTGTGTGGCTTTGCGCAGATCCACACCTCCCTGATCAACGGCAGGCCCGGTGCCGATGAGCTCACCCCCGCCCTGCTGCAGTTCACCTCCTCTCGGTACATCCGCCTCCGGCTGCAGCGGATCAGGACTCTCAACGCCGACCTCATGACACTCAGCTACAGGGACCCCAAAGACGTGGACCCCATAGTCACTCGTCGGGTATGGGGAACTCCTCTTGCAGTACTGGCAAGAAAGCTACTTACTAAGGAGGCAGCTTTTTTTTTTTAGTTGCAGTCTGACTTTGCTCACATTAAAGTTTTTAATAAAAGATAATGTAAAGGGACAATTGATCCAGATGGTCTTTTGAAGCTCAATAAACTTTTAATATTGCTAGGTGCGCAGTGTATATATTAAAATGGGTCACACTCGTCTCCCAACTGACTCTGAAAACTCTTGTTTCCTTTTTTTGCCACCTAGGTTTGCCAGTTTCTTCTTATGTCGGTGCCCTTGTAATAGTTAAAACTTCCAAACAAACAGTACCTTTCTCTGTGACTTTGAAAAAGAAGAAAGCAAAAATGCACGCTTATTTTCTGTAATGATACTTTTTTTTAATTGTTCAATGCATAGGTGAGTGGAAAGGTTTAGGAGAAAATATACAAATAACTTAATATTAAAAGCTGGACATAGAACTGTGGTACTGGGAAATCTTAATTGCACTATCTTTAATATTGTAGAACACTGTGCTTAAAGAATGAGCTTTCTTTCAGTATTTTCTGAATGTAATGCCTTAATGTTTGCGTTCAACATTGCTGTGTCAACACAACAAGAGTGAATATTGGATTTGTGTTTCATAATCCTGTCTTTTTCCCCACAGTATTATTACTCCATCAAGGACATATCTGTGGGAGGGATGTGCATCTGTTATGGCCATGCTCAAAGCTGCCCCTGGGATGAAGTGTCCAAGGTTGTGTAAAGACATAAATCCTAAAGACTTTTTAAATGGAAATTGTAGCTGTAGAAGCTGCAGAGAGTATCTAGTTCCAGTTAGCCATATACTTTTTGGATGACATTGCCAGAATGTTGCAGTTTATCAAAAAATGATGCCTCATGTGAGACCGATAGCAAGAACAGCTGTAATCGCAAGAGCTTGTCAGCTGCAACTTGACACTTAATGCCTGCAGCTAGTAACCCACTGGTGTCCTTAACACCTGATGAAGAATTAACGTTGGGATCTGTTTCTTGTTTCTTCTCTCATAGTCCTACCAACAGTGACTGGTTTTAAAGTATTGCCGAGAGTTACTGAAATGTCCGCATTTCAGCACAACATTGTTAAAACTGTCTCTAGGTTTCTCAAGAACGTGGATACAGAGCCTAAGTACTGTCGAGCAACTGAGCAGATGAAGAGCATTTAAGTGGAAATAAATATTTCCAACAAAACATCTACTGTTCTCCTTTGTTAATGTAGAAGCTCCAGTGTGTGTGTGAGCACAATACGTGTGGGGAGAGCTGTAATGAATGTTGCCCTGGCTACCATCAGAAACCCTGGCAACCTGGAACCCTGTCTGATGGCAACACTTGTGAAAGTAAGCAAAATGTTCTAAAACAGAAACTAAATGAATAAATGTGATGCTCAGTAAGCTCTGTTTTCACTACTCTGTTTTTCCTGCAGGGCACTTTTTATTTTTTTGTGCTGTGAATGATGTTTTAAAGTCTTTTTTTTTAATTTTAGCCCTTTTTCGCAAACTTGAAAAGCTTTTCTCTCACTGCCTTTCAAGCTAGTCTCTTTCAGTATTTTTCTTCAGCTTCATGGTGAGTGCATGTTAGTGTGCAATATATTCGTCTCCCAAGCTTATCAGCCACCAATGATGGGAAGGATTTTTTTTTTTTAAATTTAATTGACCTTTTCTCCAATTTCAAACTGGCTCTGCTGGATCAGTTCCAGAAACATGCCTGGTATACTGGCGCAGACAAGGCAATTGGTATGAGATGGACTCTGGCTTGTTGTTGGGTGAATAGTGTGAAACTATTGTAGAGTAACCCACGATGGTGGCTTGAGTACTACTTTATTCTGTAATGTCTTTTGACAAAAGGTGGTACATTTCCAGATTTTGCAGGCAAAATTGAAGACTGTTCTAATGTAACAAATAGTAGTGCTGAAAACGATCAAAAAGACATTCAAGCCTTCCAAATCCAGTTCTCAACAAATTTGGTTGGTATAATCATGGGGAAAAGTAATTTAATCCCAGTATGTAAACCTTTTCTTCTTCTGTGATTGTAATACTCTTATCGAAATCTTAATGTCATACTTATGATTACTTTCATAAGTAATTTCATTTCCTTTCTGATGGTGTTTATTAAATTGAACATGTCTTCAGGAAACTGAAGATATTTCTCTCTGGATCAACATTTTTGGAAGAGAGCACTCTTACTCTGTTTACACAGAAAATACCTTTTATATGTACAGATCCTGTTTTATTAAATGTGACTTATAGCAGTGCAAAGTTCATTTGATTGCAGTAACACAACAGTGCAATACTGCCAGTTTGGTTCTGTAAGTTTTTGTTAGTGCCCTTGGCAATAGACATAATCCTCACTAATTTGTATTGCAAGTACAATTGACACACATGAGGGTTCATGTTACTGGAGACAATTCTAATGCCTTGTTCCTTTATAATTCTGTAGATCCTTAACTGGCTGTAGCTTTCCTACAGTATTTCATAAATGTAACGTTCGTTAGCACATCACAGTTTTCATATTAGTGAAAACACAAATTGTTCTTATATGTTATTCTTTATTTCTGAATTCTTTCTTTGCTACAAACATCCACTTTGTGCAGCAGAAGTCTTTCTGCTACATTGCTTTAGCAGTGTTTGCACTTTTTGTACAGTGTATTCCGTGCAAACGGAAAGTGCTTAGCAGCCTTGAAAAATGTCTCGAGGTCTAGTTATAACTTGGATCTAGAACATCGTAAATGCTGTTCAGGTTGTATAAAAGTGGAAGAAAACAGACATTTGAGTTGTAATTGTATATTTTGAGCAGAAGCAGTCCCATTCTCATTTGTGCTGTATGCATTTAAATTCATTTGTGGTATTTTTCTCTAGAATGCAACTGTCATAACAAGGCTGAAGATTGTTACTACAACCAGACAGTGGCAGACACCAGGAAGAGCCTGAATGTTCACGGCCAGTTTGTTGGGGGAGGAGTATGTGTGAACTGCACTCAAAATACAGCTGGCATTAACTGCGAGACGTGCATCGATGGCTACTTCAGACCCCAGGAGGCAAGTCTTCCTCTCCGTTCTGACGTGCACATTTCATAGCTGCTGCCTGCTATTGCTTCGTCTTTATCTGGAGGTCTTGTTTCCTCACTACTGTAGGTGTCTGTTGGCTTAGCTTGCAAGAAATTGAAAATCAAGTCATTCATTTGGAAGGAAATAACTCAGATCAGTGAAGAATTTAAAATAGTGTAAAATGTAATTGTTCTGCATCTTCCTAGAATACCTTCGCTTTTAAAAACCTCAGCTGTTTTCTGTAGTTTCTTATTTTTAGTATTTCTAGCACTGAGAGGTTGGGTTTTGCTAAGTGTCTTTTCTTGTAATTCCTTTCCATGATTAGGTCTCACCATATGCAGAGAACCCTTGCATTGAATGTGGATGTGATCCATATGGCTCTGTGCATCTTAACTGTGTTAAGGATGAAAATCAGCCTGATCTCCAGAATGGTAATTTGGATCTTTATGTTCATTTATCATTTTCATTTTGGTAATGTGTGGAGTGACCTCACATTCATCTTCATCGTCAACAGTTTTCATTCGCCTGTTCCTGTCTTTAGTTCTTGACATGTGACACCTGAAAACCTCTTTAATTTCATTTGCAAGTCTTTTGTGAGGCTCCTTTGTTAGTCTGTTGTCTCATGAGATGAAAAGTTCAGACTTTCCCTGGTTGCACAGTGGCCTATTGACCTGTTGTACGTCCAACCCATTGTGTTTTTTTTTAACTCTTCCAATATCTCAAATTCTTCATTTCTTCCTTAACCATTCATTTAGTTTTCAGTCCAGAATGGGGATTCCAGTGTTATACATTTCAATGCTTGTTTGTGTCGATTTTAGTTTCTGAATCATTCTTGTGTTTAGAGTCAAGGTTTTACATCCCAGACACAGCAAACACAGGGACCTCAAATTTGTCAAAGAATTTCTTCTTAAGATACAGTTTCTAGTTTTCCCTTTATGATAATAAATGTAAACACTTTGCCTTTAATCCTCTCATTGTATTTTAACTTTACTTTGTGGCAATTGCTATATAAGGTATTTTTCTCGTAGGTTTACATGCTGGGCAGTGTTACTGTAAAGAGGGATACACTGGTGATAAATGTGACCGCTGTGCATTCGGCTTCACGGGCTTTCCCTACTGCATCCGGTGTAATTGCAGTCTGGTGGGCAGCATTAATAAAGACCCCTGTGCTGAAGAATGTATATGCAAAGTAAGTGAAGATAATTTTCTGTCCTTGGCCTTTGTTTCTGGCTTTGTTTATTATGGTACCATAGATCTGGAGAGCTGGATGGTAACACTGATTTTCCACAAGCATTTCCCTGACAATGCAACTGATATTTTGTGTCTAAAATTACAAGCACAAAGCTCCTTTTATACCAACACTTATTATACAGTAAATCAGTAACTTGTTTTGCTTCAGGACAATATTTTGGGGGATTTGTTTACCTGTTTTTAGAGTGCCAGCGATATATAAGGAAAGAGACATTCGATAGCTTTATAAACCTATGAAATAAAGTTCATTTCATGACAAGTACATTTCCGTTCGTTCTGGTTTGCAACTGACTGGCCTTCTCTCTTTGCAGGAAAATGTGATGGGTGCAAATTGCGACCTTTGTAAACGGGGCTATTATAACCTTCAAGAGAGCAACCCAGAGGGCTGCACTGAGTGCTTCTGTTTTGGAGTGTCAGATGTGTGCGACAGTATCTCCTGGCCCATAGATCAGGTAGGACTTTGTAAACCGCAGAGTCTCAATAACTGTGTCACCTGATGTTGCTTTACATACCTACCATGATCCAACCATGATCCGAAAGTGGTTAGAAACATATACTTCACGAATGTCATGGCAGACAGTTTCAAGATACTTTTCTTAAAACCACCAGCAACTCATTTGTAAGTGGATGTCACTTGTTGTTTTCTTTTTTTGTGTTATCAGGTGGTAAACACCGATGGGTTGCTGCGGTCTGTTGTTGAAACTGACAATCTCGCCAGAGCCCGATTCTACATTAATGGACTTCCTGTCACTGTTAACAACACAGCAGAAGGCAGGACACTGCAATTCCTCTATTCCTGGTCAGCACCCGAGGGATTCCGGGGAAACAAGGTACCCTTTTATTTTAGTTAGATATTGGAAATGCTCTTCTTGGCTTCTCAAATGCTTTCCTTGATTTCTGTGCCCAGTGAAGGTTTATTAGGGAAGCTGACTCTATCAGTGTTTAATTTTTATGATGTCCTAAGATTTAATAGAATGTTTTTAAAAAGACCCACATTATTGTTAAGCCTTTTCACTTATTGGAATCCTGTTGCCAAAAGGCATTAAGCAAATTGCAGCATAATGTCTCCGTGAGCTGTTATTCTTGATAAGGAACTGCAAGTATTAATGCAGGCAAAATTGATTTGAACAGGCTTGCAGAAGTTAGTTAATGTTCTCCCTCAAGGATTTTTTTTTGCTTCTCAATTTCCACTCATTTTTTTTGGGCAAGTTAATGGATCATGCCCTGTGATTAAACTCTTCCAGAACTGAAATATGAAGCCGGGCAATAATTTGGTTGTACTCTTTGTAACAGAATTTAATCTGTATACACATTAGTCCCTGGAGTGATTAATTGAATTATAATTTGTAATCCGCTGTGAAAGAGGGGAGGGGGGAGAGACCTTGAAAGGAGGCTTTAGAATGGTCCATGATTTATTTTCACACAGTTTAACGGGAGCCGGTCCTGACTCCCGTGTAGCGCGTAGTTTAGGACCCTGTGCAGACGGTATAATCCGGAAGTGACTGGGAAATGGGCTACAGGGAAATCCCAGTTAGGAGATGGATGGCGACAGTGAAACCATGTGCAAGGGGGGAGCGCAGGCAAACAAGTCCAGAAAACAGTCCAATGTAGAACATCCGCAGTGCAAAATCCCAAACCAGGGGATCCATCCAAGACAGGATGATTAAAAACAGGAACAGGGACATGGAACAAGGAGATCAAAAATGGAGTGACGAAGCCAGGCACTCGGAGCCCAGGACTCAGCTGGGTCAGGACGCCGATCGTAAACCTAGGCCTTCAAGCCGCGGACGTAGGGCGACTTGATGCTAGGCGGGTCTCCGGGCGTCCGTCTCCCAATGCAGAGCCTTGAGCTTCCGGAGCACCGGGTTTAAATAAAACGGCGAATCGAGGGGCAAGTGAACGTGATAATGAAACTGAAACACAAAAGGGTGGGTGCGCCCTCTAGAGGAGGGGTGACGATCGTGATACATTACTTCATCCGTTTTCAACGACCTCTTAGTCCAATACAGGGTCACAGTGAGCCGGAGCCTCACCTGGCAGACAGTGGGCTCATGGCAGGATTTACCCTGGGCAGGATGCCAGGGCACTCACAAAAAATACATACTGTACTCGCATAGAGAGTGCCACTTAATCCTACTCGTTGCGTCTTTGGGGTGTGGGAGGAAACCGGAGTTCAAAAACAGGCAAAGGTTATACTTTTGGTTGCTGAAGATCAAACGGCATGATGAGATATAATCAACTACAATTTGCAGCCACAGAATTGTCATGCAACATGCAGTTTCTGGGTCACAGAGCTCAGCCCTCGAGTGTCTTTGACCATTCAGCCACCTCGCTGAGGAGGCCTTACTAAAGGAACAGGACAATAAACACCCATTACCCAAATTCATTTCAGCTCTCTTCATTCACAGAATACAGTTCATCAATATTTTGTCATTTCGACATTTCTACGATTCAACATTTCTCCTTTTTGTTTTGACTTTGCAATTTATTTGGCTGGTACTTTCATTTGTACCTATTTGTACAGCTGGGTGTTTTACTGATGGAAGTTGATTGTGGCACAGTACTTCGCTTAAGGGCACAACAGGAGCATCTCTGACCACTTCTCCACACTGAATAAAAGACTACATTAGATGCCTTAAAGAAAGGGATGTCAAATTCAACAGTGTAGGATTCAGATACAACCTGTCTTGTTTTTCCAGACGGTTTCTTTTGTAACAGTTCCTTTATTTCCGTTCCATGTGCAGCTGACTTCTTACGGAGGGAACTTGAGCTTCACAGTGTCTTTTGATCCCGCTGAAGAGTCTTGGGATCCTTATATGATCGCTCTTTATGATGTCATTATTGAGGTACGTCCCCCTTATCTTAAAGCGCTGTATGAAAGATGGCTAAAAGCGGTCGCAAACCGATTCTTCCGAATCATTACTACCAATGAAGAAAGGCGCAGCCACAGCCACTGTTTAATCGAGCGCTGTCATCTCTCATCAGCTTGTTAAAATGATTAGTAGCTAATTCTCAACAAATGTGTTTTTGAAGTAGGAATTCTTCCTCCTGTTCATCACTATTTTTTAATTTTGATGTATGTACAGTATGATTGCACTGGCTCTCAGCGTTCGCCACTCTGTGCTTACCACACACTTCAGCAGAGAGTACACAACACAAATAGGTTCTTCTTTGTCGTTTAAGATGCCCGAGAATAAAATGACTGCACGCCCAACTGTGCATTTTTAAAGCTAAAAAGGCAAATAAAGCACAATATACATTATTTATCACAGTTAATATATAATTTCCAAAATACAAAAACGTTCTATTTATATACATTAGTATTTCTTAAAGTGCTCCCCTGGGGGTGAATGAGGTATTTGGGATTGAATTAAGCTGGAAGCAGAGTGTTCCGATTGGCACCATCTTCTCCTCAGGGGAACGGCAAGGCTCTGCAAACAGGGATCAGCCAGCAGCTGCTGCTCAGGCCCCGTGAAGAGCAAAGCGCCGGGGTGGAGATGGTGCCCGGGAGCTTCGTCGGCCTGCTCTCCCGGAATCCCGCACAGCGGGACGAGCTCCTGACGGCGATGGCCAACCTGACAGCCCTGCGGTTCAGAGTCCACGTCAACAGCACCGCTGCAGCCGTTGTCAGGCAAGCGAAGCCTCTCTTTCCAATGCATCTCCCCTCTCTGGGGGAGGAATTAACCAGATGCTTAATACAGCTGGTGCTGGGATGGGTGTAAATTTAACCCCCCCCCGAGCCCGTCACTGGGCCGAGTCAGTCAGAGGGAAATGTCTAATAAACATTATTTGGTGGAGCTGCACTTCTCCCTGTAGTTTGTGTTACACAAGTGTATTCGAAATGTCGTCTGTCATGGTGTGTGAAGGGTGGCTATAAGGTTACAAATAAGAAAGCTTTTCGGCCCATCTAGTTTATTTCTTGAAGATAACTAAGTTATCAGAGTCTCATTCAACAGCTTTTTGAAAGCCAGGATGTCAGCTTTGGTTTTGCAGCAGTGCTCAGTTTTTTGTTCCAGATGATATGTTCCATGTAAAACACATTTTTCATAGGTATCTTCATGAAGCTTACTGTTTCCTTACATTGATTGTTTTTTTTCCTTCATCGCGTGATACTCTCGTCTGGTGTTTTCCTAGTCTTTCCCTAGTGATTTCCCTTTGCAGCCTCTCAAATTGTTTCTAATTTTCCTATTTTGGAGAATATGTGAATTTGGCTAGCTGCCAGAACTAGACACTAGATTACTATACAGGTACTAGATGCCAGAATCTCATAATCAGTTCATTAATTTGAGTTAGAAAGAGCAGTGGTCCTAATGACGGACAGGATCAGTATTAGATCTTTAATTAAAAGACATCTGTCTGTAATTTATTAATTAATTTATTTTTAGGAACTTTATTAAGATACTTAGGAAAATAACAATTACATATAAATGGACTGTATTTGTCCATTATTGTTGTTGCTTATTCATAACACTTCTACAAGTTAAAGAAGACAAACTATATCTTTTCTCCCAGTCCATATTGACTGTCCCCTAGAATCCTGCCGCAATACAAATGATCTTTAATTTCTTGGTTTGTTATGTTCACCTTTTTAAGGACTGATTATCCTTGACTTGTCCCCACAGACTGAGGACTGCCTCTCTGGATACAGCAGATATGAATGCTACAGGTCTCAAACTTGCACTGAGTGTAGAACACTGTGAATGTCCTTGGGGTTACACTGGGACTTCTTGTGAGGTATGATCTCCCCCTTATAATCCGATATGTGTTGTTCTACCTTATAGATACAAAACAATCAGCCACATTGTTGTTGTATTACACAGGATGATCTGGTCTTCTCTCGACCAATCTTTTTTTTGTTCAATGTTGAATTGATGGTATTATTGGGATACGGCTGTGCAGTGCATCAGATAAAACCTAGACATCACAAAACAGGCAAAAATGTTATTTGTTCTTCTTTTCTAGTATTGCAGCTCTGGTTTCTATCGAGTTGGAGGGATTCTGTTTGGAGGCAACTGTATGCAGTGTGAATGCAATTATCACGCTACCGAATGCGATATCAATGGTGCCTGCTTTGTAAGTTGTCATTGTTTGTCACACAAGATTACTTCAGATAATAAGTCTTGTGGGTTTATGATACTTTTACACCAGTCGTTGTTCTTTCCTAATCCATATGAGCTGGGTTTAGACTGATAATTCACTCTGTCCTGTACAACGACGCAAAATAATTATGCATTTTTTTCTTTTAGTGTAATATTACACCACTTGATTGAAGATGCAGATGATTTTTTTAAATGCAGAACCGTTCTGGTTCAGTAAAGACTTTGGCACCAGTCTGGTACCTTTTTCACTTCCAGTAATAGAAGAGAACCCTGTTTCTCTCACGTGCATGCTTCTACAGTAGATACTATATCACTAAAAGATACCTACATGGGAGAATTTTATCAGACAACTAATACTCTGTAACATTAAGATTATATTCATCCCTATTCATCAAAGCCATCCATTCAACTCAATAAAACATACCTCTTTTCTTTCCTTGTTAACTAATTTAAAACTCTCATCTTATATTGTTGAGAAGACCATGAATGGGTGGGTTTGATGAAGGTGAATGTGATGACAATCAGAAAGGGTATGATTAGCAGGACATGCCTTGATGAATGAGTCTGGAGTTAGTCAGATATTGTACAGTTTTACAGTCTTGGACAGCATTTGCAAAGACATTTGAACCTGTTTCAGTATCCAAATGAGGTGACATTAAGAGTGCAAGAGGAAGACAGTAAAATTTGCAAATAAAACATAACATCATTGTCTCTGCTGTTTAATATTTAGCATGAGGATGCACTTTCATTTGTGCTACTCTGTCACATTGAAGTGACAAGCCTTTTGCCCACACTTCATCTGCACTTTCTGCCACATCACATCACAACACCCTACTGTATGCTCTCAGTAATGTAAGTAGGAATTTAAGACTGAAAAATCTTTAGAAGCAAAACAAGACTGCATTTCAGCAATTAACTAGCTGAACGTTCAAAGTAATGTCTTGTCTTTCAGTTCATTCTTATTGCACTCTCTGTTAACTTTGTTACCCCTGCATATACTCTGCTATTTTCCAGGCTTTTAGTCCTTCTGGTTTTATTTTAGTAAAGTCTGTGTTTAATCACAAAGTTATCGTCCAGAAGTTTATCCAAACATTTTATACTTGTGTAGTCCTCTTTTGAACCCAACATATCTTTGCAGAGGAAGAATTAATATAATGCAGTAAACAGTGGAATTGAATTGTTTATGTCAAATTTTACAAAGTCATTTTAAACATCATTCTACCAAAAGACTTATTTACTAATATTGTGACATATTCATCCTGCTTTATCCCTCTTAATATACTGAATGCCGAGCTGCATGAATATCATACCAAGATGTTTTGCCAAATAAAATTACATTTTATCCTCCCAAGTATGATTACACTGGCTTTTAGCATTCCACTCAATGCTTACTACATGTTACAGCAGAGAGTACACCACAAGATAAATAGGTTCTTTTTTGTCTTTTAAAATGCCTGCAAATAAAATGACTACGTACCTCTGAAAACTTTAAAAGTTGAAAAGTAAAATACGGCACATTGTACATTATTTATCATAGTTAATCATACCTAAATTTAAACTTATTTTAGTGGAAAGGTTTTCAATTAATTTTCCTACATTATCCACAGGACTGTGACCACAACACCACAGGACCATTCTGTGACCTGTGCCTTCCTGGTTTCTATGGCGATGCCACCAATGGCACCCCTGATGATTGTCAGATGTGTGCTTGTCCGTTGAATATTTCCTCCAACAAGTAGGTTTTTTTAACTTCTTATGCTGGACTTGTGTCATCTGGGATGTGTCTTTGCTTGCTGGGATAGGCTCGGGCTCCCCTGTGACCCTGAATTTGATGAAGCAGTTATAAAAACACATCGATGAAACAAACCTGAAAAGGCTGTGAACTCTTCATTACTAGATTATTAGATCGCAATCAAGGTCACAGAAACATTCTGAACTACAGAAAGCTTATTTTATGTCTTTGAGATTGTTAAAGCAGTTCATATATAGGTGTTTCTTTAGCATTGTTTACTATATTTAAAATATCATAATCATGATTAGCTCACATTATGTAAGTCTCCGTCCTGTTAAAAAGAATATCATTTTACCACTGGTGAAAAAAATGTGCAGATATACAGTATACACGCACCTCTTGCTTTCTGAAGTTTTACTACAACAAAGCATCTATTTTAAATGTCTTTTCTGCTGCATGAAGTCATTTTCGCTACAGCGAAGCTGCTTCCTTGATATCACCTTGAGTGTTTTTAATTGTTGAGCATCCTCCTTAGTTTGAACATAAAAAGGAACCTTTTCTTTCCTGACAGTAAAAATTGGACTGAAAAGGCAAGCGGTCAAAAGACATTTGTAATGTTAAGAACAGCTTCTGTTCCAGAAATGATTTCAGCAAATTATTTATTTTGTTATCTACTGTACCTAATTAAATGGGCTTATGATCAGTGAGAAAAAAAAACTTTGTGCTTTTGTGCTCCAACACTGTACACAGTACTCTTATTCAGTTATTAATTGTACACTGTAAATTTTAAAATATCATACCTTGTTTTAACTCCTTCTCTTTTAACCAGTTTTAATCGATTTTTTATTATGATTTATCAACTTTGATTTCAATTTAATTCTTTCTGAAATTCATATTGCAGCTGCTTTTTCCTATTTTGGTATCGGTAAACATTAGTAGTGATATACAATATTAGAATTTACTAGTGATATAAGTTATTTACTTATATAAATCGGAAAGACCAATGGTCCCAGTACCGATTTTAGCATGTGCGTCTGTTGTTTCTGTCAACTGGTTCTCAGCCTAAGCACATGCCTTAACTTTAATGCCATCTTCATGTCATTTGAGAATCAATCTTTTATGAGGAATTGCATGGAACGCCCTCTGAAAATCTTCATTTAGCATATAGTATGCCCTGTGTGTCTGTTACTGCTGTTGACTGTTCAAAAAACCCTTTGCAAATTAAAGAACAACCTAATCTAAAACTATGCTGTCCCTTGCCATCCTATTTCTATATAGAATATTTCCTCTAATATAGTTTTGATGATCGTTTCCTGATCCATATTAATCTGTAATTACTTGGTTCAGTTTTGTCACCTGTTTTATGGTTGGGCACTATATTAGCAATTCAGTCAGTCCTTGCCCCTTTCAGCTGTTAGAAGAGTTGCTAACAGTCTATGTACAACACCTCATTTCCTTAAGCAGAACTAGGCATACCATCACGTCATAGTGATCAGTTAATATAAAGTGCATCTAGTACCTGTAACACGTCTTCCTGTTCTGTGATAATACTATCTAATATAGAATCTCACCCAACAAGGTACACTTTTATTTTGGTTTTTCCTTGTTTAAAACCCAAGTGAAATTCATTTCATGTATCAAATTCCTGTCAGTTTTACAGGCCTCTTTAAAAACAGCTGTTCCTGAAAGCTGAGAAAATCTGTTAAACGGCTCCAGTTAATCCAGTAATTAGTTCTTGTAGATGGGCAAGACTACGGCCCTCCAGCACAGGGTTTGAGAACAGCTGCTGTAGAG